CAGCTTAGACAAGTAGGGGGTGTAATTAAAAGTGCCTTTCAGTTCCACAGCTTGGTTTCCATGACCAAGTCTTGATGCACTATTATGTTTAAGGTTTTGATTTTTTCATGTTATAGTATATGCACACTATATATATAAATATTGCTTAATATTATCATATTATTATTCACTGTTCTTGTGTCACGATTGTGGAATTGTCATTAACCTTTGAAGTCTAATTTTTTTTTTTTTTTTCAGTGTATTTAAGTTTTCATACAGTATTTTTCACTTTTCCTCCTTTTTTTCTTTCTTTCAGAAGAATTCTCCATCCAAGCCGTCGGTGGCTGAGCTGGCCGGAAAGTTCAAAGGTCATATTCTTCCAATGCCCAACTCAAATGGCGAGGTAATGCATTTTATTTGTCCTGTATAACAAAACAAAAAATCTATAAACATGTATGTCCGTGCAGAACATTATTCAAATATATGTGCTTTCTTAAAGGAAGCAGTTAGTGAATCATTACTCGTTCTCTTCCCTTAAATTTGTAGCCTCGAAGACGACCTCCGTGTTCCCTGACGTTGCGAAATCAAACTGATGATAACGACGAGTCAGATGTGAGTCACCGCGTTCGTTCATTGACCCGCGTGTTACGTTTGGCTTCTTGAAAGTCCCCAGAAGACAGACTTGGATTTGTTTACTGTGCATGTTCATTGCAGCCTCACAGTTTCGACATAGCGGGTAGTGTAATGTTGATAAATGTGGTATTTTATTATTCGTGTTTTTGGTTTTCTTCTTCTGCCTCAATCATTGGGAAAGGCTTGTTGTTTTTCCTCCCAGTAAAATGACAACATGCCAAACAAACGACGCAAATATATCATTGAGTTATGGGCCAATAAAAAGCACAACAGAAATGTTGCATAAGCATAAAAACAATAAAAATGTGTATTTTGTTAGTAACAAAACTGAAATGCGTTTAAATGTATATAACAATTCTTAGCATTTGGTAGGACATATGCCTTAATGGGCTACTTTATAAGAAAAGGTGCCTTAAAGCACAATCAACCAATGCTCTTAGTAAATATTAACTTTTGATAAATATTAGCTTTTAGCAAATATTAGTTGTGAATCCACTGCATGTTTGTCTTTCATTAACTGTGTTCTCTGGCAGAAATCTGCTGTTCCACCAAATCCCATTAAAGTCAAGCTGAAGAACTCTGCCGTCATTGAGAAGCTGCAGGTTGGTGCAACACATGGTGCATTGGTGAAGGAGGGGGGAAAAAGCTGCTAAGCTCACTAATGATGGGTTATTGCAGTGAGTATTCAGGTTTTTTAAAGCATTACTGCCACCCGCTGTTCTGTTTTCACTGGTGCCTGAGCCGCTCACATGCAGGGAGGTAAAGGGGGAGAGGCTTGTCCCTTATGCAGCAATCTGCACAGATTAATGAGCTAATTGGATCACAGACTACAGAGGTTCTGGCGAGGCTTTAACTTGCTACTTGAGTTCCTTTGGTTTGCAATTTCACACGGTGGGCAGCCATGGGACAAAAGGGCTGCCGATTCTCCCTCTTTCTTTTCTCTCCGGTGCAGGTAGGACATTAGTTGGCGGGGTTAATTTGTCAGCTATTTGTAGCACTTTGATTTTTCAAGGACAGACTTTTAGCAGTGACATTTTAAAACAGGAATGTTGCAGTTGTACGCAGAGCAATATCAAGTGGGTAGGCCTGTAAAGTAATGAGTTAAATTCAGTTTTCAAAGAACGATGCTCACGTTGTGACTGGAAATATTATTTACACATGTTCAAAGAAATGCTAGAGTTTAGTTTCTGCTTCACCTAATCTCCTTATAAAGCAAGTTCTGTGTTTCAGTAAACTGTTATTCTGGTATGTTTATAAGTTATTGAATTTTAAAATGCATGGAAGAATTTTAGTATCTTGGCTTCCCTTCTGCCCTTCAGGCCAACCTCGCTCTGTCACCCACTGCTCTGCTGCCTTCACCAAAGACTCCAGAGGTGAAACTGCCACAGGCACCGCTGTCCCCCACCATGCCCTGCAGCCGCCTGAGCCCTCTGACTCCCACTCTGCAACCCTCGCATCAATCCAGTGAAGAGGAGGAACCCATCAGCTTCGACAGCCCTCCTGAAGGGATCCCATTGCCAAGCATCAACAAGGTGCTGTGTGCTTCCTCCTTATAGTATAGTTAGGCTACTTTTATCTTATTACTTTGAACTTTCAGAAGGCCAAAATGCACCTTACATGACACCTTTAACTTTCTTTTATGTTTCGTGGTGAATTTTGTGTGACTTTCATCACAAAATGACCAACATGAGTTGCTGTCACATTGAAGCCCCGTGTTTCTCACGCTAATTGCCGAATAAGCTGTGATACCACAGCCAGGTACATTCCCCCCCGTCCCTACTGACGTGCTTCTCAGTGGGAGTTCTGCAACGTCTGTTTAAGCAGGCCGGCCTTGGATAAGCTCAAGCAAGATGCTCCTGTAGTTCATGTGTGCTCCTGCTGGGTGGATTGAGGATGTAATCCCCTTAGCCTAGTTAGAGTCCCTGGGTGTCATTTGTTTGGTGCTGTCACGCATATGCTGATTAAACCTAAACAGTTACTTGCATCATTTAAAGCTGAAAACCTGCACACTCTTACAGATGTAAAATTAATCTTTATGCTTATTTTTTTTCCACACAGACCCGCGCACGACTGTCATTTAAAAGGCGACTGCCCACAAGACAGCACAGGAGATCAGCTGGAGAGGAGGCAGAAGGCTTCGGGAGTGGACTGTCCCCATGTGAACTGTGCAGCCCAAAAGAAAATGGGGTCAAGAACCAGGTTTTGGACAGCCCGTCAGAGGAAGCTGAATGTAGTCTTAAAGAAGCTGAAAACAAGGAAGGGGACTGTGAAACTGCAAACGCTGAAATGACAAAAAGCGACCACGACAACAGGGAAGACATGGAGCATGAAGCAGAACAAGACAGAAGCTCTGACGCTTCGAAGGAGGAACAGCTGGCTTCAGAGCCTGTTGAGCAGGAAGAAGGTGACATTAGGGCAGAAGAAAGGCAGGGAGAGACACCTCAGGAGGCAGACGAAGGAGGGAAGTGAGAGGGTGTGAATGTTTACATGAAAAATACCAAATATATGAATAAGTTATTCAGTGCTTTTCTGAGAAACTGTTTGAGAAATACTCCTCCTTAAGAGTTATTTTATTCAGGTTTTATCTCTTTATATCAGCTGTTAAGTCCCTCTGTCGCCTACTACTGGCTGATAAGTTAAAAAAAAAAAACACTGGAGAGTCATGATAAGCAGCTGTTTGTGCACATGGAAATGAGTATGGCAGTTGATGCTGTATTCCCTGAGCACAGGAAACATCCATCATGTTGTACCAAGTCTGTAAGACTCCTGTTTTATTATTATTATTATTTTTTTATTTGTTAGCTTTTTTCTTTTTTAATGCAAATGTTTCTTTGTCAAAATGTCAAGAGTGCACTTCCATATCAGGAGTACCTGACACATCCACAGAAGTGTTTGAAGCTACCACGTTGTGGGCCGGTAAGAGGCAAAAATGTATTAGATAGAGTTCATATATATGTAAGCAGATATATAAATGCTTTGACGTCATACCAAAGTACTTTAAGTATGAAATTTTAACTTAGTTGTTTTGTTATTAATGTATGTTGATCTATGCTGGTCTTTTTATTTTGTATACTTCAAAATATAGAAATCACAGTGCTACTGTGAAATCATGCACAGAAATGTTAAGAAAATAAACGGCTTCTTTCTTACATGACAAATACCTTTATGTTTTTTTTTCTTTTCCTTTTGTTGGATTGTCATGTATCAGTGAATATACCACATCCAAAGAAAATTGTTCTCCAAGGAATACAGGAGGGTCTTGAGTTGTTTTTAGCCAAAAAGTCAGTTTATATTAAGACACTGTCATTAATAAAGGGAAACTGTACTATTGACCAAATGCAGAATTGCCCCTATATAGCGCTCTTACAATTTCTATTTAGAATTCATGTCAGTAATGTTAATGTGTGCAAAGTGTTGACTAATAGTGTCATTGCACCAATTAACATGAGACAAACTGCTTCTTGATGATTAGCATTAGTCCGTGAAGTTGTAATTTTCTGCATTGGCTTTCTCTATTTTCAGCCTGAACAAAGCTCAGAATAAATGAAAACAAAAGCCAGAGGATACTCCTTTAAGCATTAACAAATACCAAGAATGTCATCTGACATATCTTTAAAAAAAAAAAAAAAAAGCTCCTTTAGTGATACAAAAGGTGTGACTTATACTCACCGGACACTTTCATTTAGATTAGGTGCATCTAGTACCAGGTTGGACTCCCTTTTGCCTTCAGACCTGCCTTAACACAGACACAGACTTGGATTCAAAAAAAGAGCTGGAAACGTTGATCTGAGATTTGCATATTGACATGATAGCGCCACACAGTTGTTCCAGATTTGTACAGTAATGTTATTTTCCTGTTCAAGAATCTATTTTAAAATTATTTTAGCTTTGTGTCATGGTGTAACTCTGCTGCATGCAGCCATCAGTTCAATTTTAGGTGATTCCATGTGAACCGCAGTTTTCTGTACTTAGCTGACATTAGGGGCATCCAGTGTGGTCTTCTGCTGCTGCAGCCCATCTGTTTTAAGCTTTGACATGTTTATGTTCAAAGTTGTGCCTCTGAATACTTTGGTTGTAAGGAGTGGAGTGGCCTTGATATGGCCTGCACCTCACTGGATACTTTTATCTTTGGACCATTCACTAAAAAGACAGCTTATCTGGCACAAACAACCATGCCGCGTTCAAAGTCACTTTAAATCATATTTCTTCCCTATTCTCATGCTCAGCTTAATCTTCAGCATGTGCCTTGTCCATGTCTAACAACACTGAGTTGCTAACAAGTGAACATAAGAATGCGTATGTCGGCCTCTGGTGGTAATCCGAAAGAGGTTACAGTAATTCCTAAACCTGCTTCAGCAGTGGAATAAAACTTATCTTCAATGGGTAAATATCTCGTTTATTTGTATCGACCGTTTTTGAAGTCGTTGTTCAATTCAAATCACAATAATAGCTGTTTTTTTTGCTGTTGTTGTTTCTTTCTGAAAGGTCATAAGTTCACATGATCCGAACCACTGATAAACTGAACCACTCCTGGAAGGATAGAGTAAATATATGGGTCATCAATAGATAAACCAAACAATAAACGTTATGTGGAGCCATGCTTTGGTTAAGCAAATACTTACGTATCATAAAAAGCACTCGAACGCATAACTGCCAACAGATTGAAGGATACTGAAAAAAATCACGTGGGCTGCAAAGAAAAACATAAACAGCAGTGCTTACGGTTAAATTTGCACTATATCTAACTCTGTAACGTAATCCAGCTGCATTGGAGTGCCGCTGGCCAGCTGTTATAACGTCATGAGTCCTTCCAATGTTTCCTCCCAAGTTTCGAAGTAGCCACCGCCTCTACGCTCCACCGAAACTTGAAGACTCACCTGTCAGGCTTGAGAAGGACCCGCAGGGAAGAAAGATTTCGTGGCTCGTCTGAAGAAAAGCTTTCACAGAAGCTGTCTTGAGTAACGATGTGAAGTCGCTGACTGGTGTTATTGAGGAACTGTTAATATTTTGAGAACCTCAGCTGGGACGTTAATGTCACCGCGGTCAGCTTGTGTTTATTACCATTAAAAGTTGAGGCGCATAGGCACTTCCGGGTTGGAAAGAATCTTGCCCAGGATCACCATGGTTGATATTCAGATGGATACATTGAAATCCACAGATGAATTCGATGGAGCATCGGTTTCACGTGCTCGTGGGGTGAGTAAATGGTATAAATATGTGAAATTCTGTTTAATGGAATTCTTAATTTGAATAATAGCGTTATTGGTCATGCTATTTTATGAAATACTGTATGTTTAATCACCTTGTAATAAGTCCTCCAGCCCTCTCTGTGCGAATAGAAAGTAAAACAAAATGCTGCTTCTTCAACTAAAATTGTACTAACGTCTATTATAGACGTACGAGTTAATTGTGTATTTTCATACTGTGTGTATGAAGAGCAGGAATGCATTGACAGCAGGACATGAAGGAGCCCACATGCTCCTCATGTGTGCTTGAGGGTGTAACATGGCTTAAGATTTCAGTCATAATACAGACTCAATTCTTGAGCAACTTTGTTTTCACTCACTGATGTGAAAGTTTAGTTTAAAGGATCAAAAACAAGTTTTTGAAATCCAATAAAAAGTAGCTTCAAAACAAAAGTAATTCTATTCAAGTGCTTTTAAATGTGAGGAATATATGACCCAAACTCACAGCTCAACAATATGGTGCCACAGTATTGAGTCATCACTTCACTTCTTTATATTGTGCTTCCAAGGAACTGGATTTTCTTGTATTTCTTAACACTGTCTCAAGCAGTACTTCTCCACATTTTCTGAAAGTATTTGTAGTGGCAATTCCTTTGTTTGACAAATCAAACATCCCACAATCAAAAGTCCACAAGCCACTGCTGCACTGAGAGACTATTTTGTACGCAGGCAAAAGAAGTCCATTGTCCAAACTTGAAAGTTGCGTTTTGATGGTTTATTTATCCAGTTTGGCAAGCAATAACAAGATCCAATTTTTTTGTTACTTCCTGCTGCTTCTCCTGCTCTGGTAAAAAAACCATAGGCCCACCCCAGTGCATGCTGGTCCTATACCAGCCCTACAGCTCTTCCTGACTAATTTAACAAAGTAACATCAAACAAACTTTGAAACAAAATATTAACCAACAAATAACTTGTAAATAAACCCCAAAATATAAGTAAACTAACAACAAACTTTAACTAATTTCAAAATAATAAAAAATAAGAACAAATAGCTCCAACAGTATTCTTTGGACATTGGCTGCTTTTCCACTTTCAATCCAGTCCTTCTGCCTAACTAATTTAAGAGATTTTTGGGGGGTTAACACTGACCTATGAATCCTTCAAGCATAGAAAAGGCAACTAACTCAAAGGATGAACCAGTGTTTTGTCTACAGATAACATATTTAAAAACAACAACAATTTTAAACTGCACCTTGTGCTTCTAGCAGCCTGTCACTAAAACACACTCTATGAAAAATGCCAACAATAACACAGTTTACCAGGCATGATATAGTACAAGGTGATTCTGAAAGAGCTGTTAACTGAAAACATGGAATATCTCAGCATGATGTGCAGGGTGTCCTTATTAAATTAAGGAAACTGGGAAAGTGGAGGACAATCAAGAAGCAGCAGACGTAAAAACTACCTACAGCAGATTATTATTATCTTAAAGTCACGTCCTTAAGAAATGAATACAGAAAAGTCCAATTTTGATCCACCATGCAATACTATCTGGAAACTGTCTGGCAGTGGCTTCATTTTTCAGTGTGACAGTTATCCGAAACACTCTGGTACCTGGATAGAAAACACACACAATGGAATACTGTCGGTCATGGACTGGCCTCCCTGGAGTATGGACCTCACCATTATTAAAGCAGGGTAGGATTAAACAAAGGCAGCCAACATCCAAAGAATAGTCCCGAACATCCTTCAAGAAGCCTGGAGATCTATTCCTTTAAAGAAATGGGAAGAAAGCATCCTAAGAGTTGTGTCAAAGATTGGTGGTGGCCATACCAAATATTGATTTTCAAGCTTTTACAAATTTGTAAAAACTCTGTTCTTCCCTTATGTACTCCATGTTCTTTGTATTCTTACTCATGTTTCAATATATCACTGCACCTTTGTCCCATTTTCCTTGTAAAATTAAAAAAAAAGGGAGCTGGCTTAAGAATTGTGGTATCTTTTATAAATATCCCCACATTTTTCACCCTGTAGGGGACATGTGTTACACATGGTGATGCCAACATGAATTCCAGTCCAACCGAAGCAGAGAGTCTCCTGCAACACGTAAGCAGCTTTCACTAAAGTTGTGCTCTATTTGTTTTAAACTATTATTTTACTCTCTATTACAGAATGAGAACTACATATTTTTGAGTATGACCTTTCTATGTTTTGAGCAGAAGACAAAAGCAACCGTAGAAGGAAAAGAAACCTCTCACTTTCCCTTCTTGACTTCTATATTTAGTGAAGGAAGTGAGCAAAGTGATGATGCCTTCTTTTTTGTGTCCTGCTAGAAAAATGGTACTAATGGAGTGCAGACATCTTCACATGATGTAGAGTCTCAAAAATCTGGAAAGGTATGAAAAGTGCTTTTTTTTCCTTGGGTATTACCTCTTTTGGTTTGGAATAAACCATAAGACGTCCCAGTTTTTTATGTTTTCATCTTAATTTAAATAAAATGAATTTTGATCTTTCGTTTTTTTTATGTGAATGACTGAAAAAATGAATATGTGTATTCTGAATTGGTGCGTGTTGGGAAAAGGTTTGAGTGCCTGTATATTAACTGACTAGAAATCTAAGTTAATGACAAACCTGCTGCCTTGTAAAGTGTATTCCATTTCATCATTTATATTATGTTCTAGGACTGCACTAAGCGTGGGATAAAGAAAGAGCTGAATGAGAAAGTCTTCTGGGAAATTAGATTATGGATGGTCATAATATTCATCCTCATTGTCGTCATTGCAGTGATTTTTACTTCACTGGCTATATGTGCAGGTAAGGTTATGTTTTTTTACTAGTTAGTGCTACGTTGTGGCGCATTCATTAAGATGGAAATGAATGAAATTTAAAAAAATATAATTTATGTTATGTGAAAGCATGAATATTACAGGGAGCTACAATGCAGCATTTTTAACTATTCGAACGCAGCAATTTCTCACTCACTGATTTCTCTTTGGGCAGCGATCCATCAGGATGAGGATGACATATTTGACCCTTCGTCGTTTACAGTCATTCAGAATTTCCGTGGGAGCTTCCAGATGCCAAACCAGGTCTTCACAGAGGAACTCACCACCAATTCTTCCAATAAAAGCCAAACACTGGCTACAGAACTAGGAGCAAAGGTTGGACCGCTTATAACTTATATTTTATAAACGATGTACTTGATCTGTTCGTGTTAGCTGGTTGTATTTAGAACTTGCTACATACTCTGTATGGACAAAATTACTGGGCCATCTACAGATGACACCTGCTCAGCTATGGAAACCCATACTGCGATGATCCTGGCGTGCAGTTTTTGATTTAATGTTAAGGTCAAGGAAGGTTTTGGAACTTTGCATTTAGTCAGAAGAACATCGGCGCCTCAGCAGTCGGTGACCCCACTCTGCAACGTTACCACCGGTATCTGTGGTCTACCCCTCTGTGGCTGAGTTGCGGTTCCTAAAAACTGCTTCTGCTTTACATTAATACCACTTAGAGTTAAATGTGGAAATTAAACTTTAAGAGTTAAGGGAGGGGAATGAATTTCACAAACTGGCTTGTTGCAACTGCATCCTATTACAGCACTGCGCTTTTTAGAACAACTCATTGTTTTACAAATATCTGTAAAGGCAGACTGCCAAGTGCTGGATTTTTCTGCACTTGTGACAATGAGACTGAAAACACCTAAATTCAAAGATTAGGAGATGTGGCCCAATTCGTTTGTCCTTATAGTGAATGTACAAAATATCTTTTACAGGGGCTATATTAGATTTACTGGCAAACAGTGTAGCATTGCCTTTTGCAACCATGGTGCTTAGCTGGTGTATACACGGCGCAGTCCACGTGCCCTTGTTATATAAGGCAATTCAAGGATAGTTAATAGCTACGTTGTAAAAGAGGGTAATGTCATAGAAGATGTGCCGATGTCTGCACGCTGATAGTAGCAAAATGAATCAAAAATATTTTGCTTTTTTGTTTTGTTTTTTGCGGAAAAAGACAAAATTCTCATTCTTAATCTTCACCCAAAGTTTCATGGTATTCAGCTCAGTAGTTTTCTGTGCAATCCACCAAAGAAACGAAACACATGAATGAAAACATTCCAGTTCAGGTTACAGCATGTTTTTAAGATAAACACGGTGATTATTATTGTTTCATTCAGTGGAGTAATGACCCCACCCCCCACCCCCCAGGTGCGCACACACCTAAGAAAAGTAGTATTATAGGAACCCAGCTGCTCTGGGTTTAATTTAATAATACTGTGAAGTTTTATCCTGAACTCATCAATGTTTAAACTGATCTGCTGTCTACACCAGGGGTGGGCAATTCCAGGCCTCGAGGGCTGGTGTCCTGCAGGTTTTAGATCTCACCTTGGGTCAACACACCTGAATCACATGATTAGTTCGTTATCAGGCCTCTGGAGAACTTCAGGACATGGTGAGGAGGTAATTTAGTCATTTAAATCAGCTGTGTTGATTCAAGGACACATCTAAAACCTACAGGGACACCGGCCCTCGAGGCCTGGAATTGCCCACCCCTGGTTTACACAAAACCCCAAAAACCTGTGTGTGCTTTATGCTTTTATCTTCTGAAATTTTAATGTAAAAGCAATTAGCATTAAAATTGAGCTGAGAGAACGGTAGGTAGGGGAGTGCCAGGCAAAACAATTTCCTGCTAATGTTTTCTCTTGCATGCTTTGTTCTGCCCCACCCAGCTCTCTGACCTCTACAAAACCTCATCTGCACTGGGGCGATACTTCATCAACGCAGAGATACGCGCTTTCAGGTAAATACGCGTCACACTCAGAATTTATGAACTGTGTATTTCGGTGAAACCACTGAGTTTTGTGCGTTAAACTTCAGAAATGTTTAATCCTCCCCCGCAGGAACGGTTCAGTCATTGCTGACTACAAGCTGACATTTCACATGCCTGAAGAGGAGAAGGATCCGCTGAGGAATTTTACTCTGAGCAGGGAGATGGTGTACAACGTGTTCAGACAGTTTCTTTATGACCAGGAATCTGAATCGGACCCAATGTTCATTGACCCAGCTTCCCTAAAAATGGTTTTAGGAAACTAAGGACAAGAAGTTTACAGCGAGACCAGAAAACCAGTTCTTGGTTTCTTTTTAGTTTTTATGAGCCACTAAACCTCCATGATGTCACGTCGATGTCATTGTTTTCTCATGAGTCTGCATATGAGACGTCTTTACCACAGGAGGCTACATGACCATAGTTGCGCCACCCCGCAAGTAATGGTAGTCATGTGCGTGTTTGTGTGCAGGATATTTTTTTAAGGTTAAAATATAACCTCACAAACTCACAAAAAATGGAAAACAAACACAAAAAACATTTTTTATTGAAAGAAATACATTGAGATATTGTACTTAAGATTTCACTGTGTTTTACTGTTCATAGTTTACTGCATTTACATGTCAGTTCTTTAAGTTCCTCGACTCTCACTGTGATATTTGTACATAAGAAAACTGGTGTATATTTGTAATGGAAGTATTGAATTTATCTGTGCCATTATTTTTGGGCTTTGCGACTTCATTTGCAAAGCCCTAAAACACAATTCAATCAACAGTTTAATAGGAAATGAACAGGAAAATGAGGCATTTGCTTATTATTACATAAAGGCTGTGCATCCCTTATAAACTGTGCACTCTATACACAAATTGTTTTGTGTACTATAGCACGAGAACAGTTTTATTTGGCAAGCAAATAGTTGGGACCCTGTTTTCCCCTTCACTGTTTGTTTTGGTAGTTGAACACTAGGGGGAGCATTCTCCACCGGACAGTTGAGGGATTTTGTCTCTCTTTTGAGTCCTTTCTCTGGCTCAGTTTACAGAGAACGGGAATTCACATTGTAAATACTTTACAGAGCAGGGAGCAGGTTATTGCAACGGTTTTGGCAACAGTTTATGTTGTATATTTTTAATTTATTTTTTGGCTACTGTGTCAGTGATTGTGTCTGTATGTCTAAGATGACAGCTGTAATAAATGTTTGTATTTCCAAGGATAGTTGCTCCACACCAGACATTCAGTTCTCTTCACTTTAACTTGTTGAATTTCCAAGAATGTGTTTCCCAAATAAAGATATTACAGTCATTCCTTTAAAAGACTAACCCCTTTTTTACAACTGATGCAATAATGCAAATACTTGCATGTAATTTAACAACTGTGGTGCTGCTTCCATGGGATTTACATTGCATCATTTACACAGCTGCACATTTCACTAAAACTAATTTTACGTCAGCAATTTTCTCAAACGACAAAAGAGACTTCCCAAGAAAAGGAAGTATTATGTATTACACGAATTACTAATAACACTATATGGAAAGAAATGCTGAGTTTTATTTCTTGTTCTTCTTTTTCCTAGGGGGGGAAATACAGTTTTACATGTTCACAAACAGCCATTCTGCATGACAGTCACATGGTGGTCAAAAGGTTAAGTTTAAACAGCAGCGCATCTGTGGGATCCAAAAGATTTCAACAGCTGGACATAAAACCACACCGCCCTGTTTGCTCTTGGAAATTCCCAAATATTGTAGATATTGGCACATTTTTGTTGAGACGGAATTTATTGATCCAGACTGGACAACTTTGCTCTGAGCTGTATTTAGAGTCGCGGAGGGCATCTTTTTTTCTCTAAGTAAACATTTTACTAAATATGCTGGCAGCAGTGATAGCTCACGGGCACCATTCTGGCTGTCTATGTCTAACAGGTAGCAACTGCATGTCTTGCTTGTAGTAAAGGAGCTTTTTCTTCTGAATGCTATTTTAAGAATCAGTAATCATCCAAAGCCAGATTTACTCTAACAGGCACACTAAGCTTTGATAGCCTTGTTTTGCTTTTTACTTCACGGTAGATCAAAGACCAGTCACAGAGTTCAGTGACAGGTCAACAGTGCTTGAAGAACACGTATAATGTGTGTGCAACATTTTTCTGTATTCTTAAAAACTCAGATCATGCTGAGATTAAATTCACATGGAAAATGCATCATTATTAAACTTGTACTTGAATAAGTCTAGCTGACTGATGATTAAAAATATCAGTCTTGGCAAAGGCAGCGCCTTTTTGCTCGCCATTGTTAGAAACGCAAGCACAATTAGCCTATAAACGTCAAACACTGGGGTGGCAGAAAGCCATAGAAATGTCAAGATTTGATTATTCATGACTTGCAGGAGAAAATTCCAAAATCAAAGTTATTAGGAGTCAGGAAAACTTAGATTCATTTACATACATATTTGGCATAAATAATACTAAACTTTGGGACGGGACAGGCTTGACTGACAGACACCTAAATAGAGAGAGTTACAGTAATCAAGACGTGAGGAAATAAAGGCGTGGAGAAGGGTTTCCAGATTTAGATGACAAGATAGATAACATATATTTTTATTATAGGCTTTTAGTAACAGAGTACCTAAAGATACAATTTCAAATCATTTTTTGCTAAATTTTCTGATATGTGTAGACACAACATGGGTTCATTCCTAGTATTTGGTGCTTTATTTAATACTTGAATTATTCATAGATGGCTGTCAGATGGCTGTCAAATGGCTTAACGAACCAAAAACAAACCCATTCTCCGAAAGTTATGCTCTATGCTTTCTCTGAAAGTGGCCTCTGTAGGAAGTTCCTTTGTGCCAATGGAAACTAGTCAAATCAAAGAGCACACACTTTGCCCTGACGTTTTAGCGAGATTCTCTGCTTATCCTATTAAAGGGTTATGTCTCCTTTTAGTTGCCTCAAGATGCGTAAAGCTTAAGGAGGTTGTTGTTACTCAGAGCTCAGAGTAGGTGCTACACTTTCCTCTGTGGATTCACTTTTATCAGCAGCTCTCTACGGGTTTCTGGACAAAAGTCCCAATCATCTGGAGTGAAAATGGGTGCCCACGGCTCCAACCTGGATGATATCCTGGAGGAGGACATGCACCACTGGTACACGAAGTTCATGAAGGAATCCCCTTCGGGGCTCATCACGCTCTTTGAGCTGAAGACAATGCTTGAAATGAACGGTATGACAGACGAGGCCGGCAGTTATGTGGACCAGGTCTTCGTCACCTTTGACATGGATGGGGTATGAAAACATTTAATATTGGAGGATATGAACTGGGTGGACGAAACACGTGAAGAATACCAGGAAACTTTGCAAAAATGTAGCAATCAGAAGTATAGAGTAATGCAGATCAGGGGGGACCAGTTTTGCAAATAGTTCATACTGATAATGGTGTCTTTATCAGTATGTAATACTGTAGAATGCATCAGTTATTATGAAGATCTCAGGTTTTCTTTTCTACAAGCATTTAAAAGAAAATATATTTTATACTCTGAATCATTTAGTTTGTTCCAACTTAAAGGATAAAAAGTTACAAGTATTAAATTTAGTGTCTCTAAATATCTGATATAGCTTCCTTTGAAATTAGCTGCACTTGTAGCCCTTGTTTACAAAGATAAAAAACTTAATTATTTAATTCAGAATTTGGTAATTATTCTTTGAAGTAAACACGTTTTGCTTTTTCAGTAAATGATCTGAGATTTACACTCCTTTCCCTTTGTGTGTCTTTTTTTATTTTACAGGATGGCTACATAGACTTTGTTGAATATATTGCAGGCATTAGTTTATTATTGAAAGGAGAAATAAATCAGAAGCTAAAGTGGTACTTCAAGCTCTTTGATCAGGATGGAAATGGAAAAATTGACAAGGATGAACTGGAAACTATATTTAAGGTAGAGTATGCCTTCTCTGAAATCTTCCTAATCAGATTGCATCCAAAGTAGTGAGCTTCTCAGAATTCTCTGAATGGTGCCTTGAAGATTAACTCTGGAAGTGCACATAAGTAGCCAAAGCACCTAAATCCAACGGCTTCCTAATTCACCTCTGTTTTCAATTTGGCTCATTCTTAACTCCTGACTAAAGCCATACAATGATCACTCTGTTTACATGACATAACATCTCTTTTAGGCCATTCAAGACATCACCAGAAGCTACGACATCCCTCCAGAAGATATTGTGCATCTTATATATGAGAAGATTGATGTCAACGGAGAAGGTAACAAACGCATGATTGTGTATAAAGGGTATCAAGAATGAAACCAGTGATAAAAGGCTTTTGTCACCGTGACCAGAGTGAAATGAATACAAAGCACGAGTAAACATTCTGATAGTTGTGAAATGTTCTGCTTTGTGATTTGTTTCCATAAAATCACAGCTTTAAATGCACAGAGTGCCACTTCTCTCTCTCAGGTGAGCTGACGCTGGAAGAGTTCATCAGTGGAGCGAGGGAGCACCCTGACATCATGGATATGCTCACTAAGATGATGGATCTAACTCATGTCTTGGAAATTATTGTCAAGGGTCAACGGAGGAAAGCTCTGAACTGAGTCAGTAAACAACAAGCCGAAGAACTGACATCACCCTGACTTTAAAGACTGTACGGACTTGACGATGCACCGAGTCCCACCTCAAACTGCAAAAACCCAAACTGACAGAGCAGGAGCACACAAATATCTCTCTGCATATCACCAGATAACACGCAGAATGAAGCAACAGAATGAAGCAGATAACTTCCCCACCTCTGTCAACCTGTATGTGCCCTCAGAGTCATTGTACAGTTTACTTTTTAAATTTTTTTAAAACAGTTTACCAATTGTGGCGAGGCTTGGTGCCAAAAAAAAAGTAAAACTGCTTTTAGGGTCTCATCATGGGCCTAGCAGATTATGCAAAGTAAGGTTAAAAGAATCGCTTTTATTTAATTCTGACTAATGATTCTAAAGACTCCTAAAATGAATGGTCAGTTTCTGAATATTTACAGCATAAACAGAGTATTGGGGTATTTACAGTCTAGTCTACAACACTCGCGGGGACTGTTGGTAGTTTTGTGTTGACGAGTTTGTAAAATCTGAAAGAAAAGTCCATTATTAGTTAAAACACTAATGGACACTAAACTATTTGTGATTATGTACAAAAAATATGATGTTTTAAAATATCTTCCAATTAAGGTTGCCTTAAAATCAGTACATTTGTTTATTTTTTTAATAACCCCCTACACAAGCAAAAGATTCTTTGGTTTTTACCAAAGATCCAGGCATAAACATGACAGATTCCATTTTGCAAAACCTGCAATAATTTCCTTTAATCAATGACGTAACTTTAAGAGTAGCATGCAAAGTTTACCACGTTGTTGTTGCGTCAACCAGCTTCAAATAGAGAATTAGGAAAATAGATAAAACTAAGATATATAGATTAGAAAAGCTAAAAACTGAGGAAACAAAGCACAGTTTGTTATTTAATGAGATGCAGCATTTAGAGGTATTGTTTCAGTTTTACTGCTTGACAACTGAACCAGCTCAAGGATGCCATCTTGTGAGGAAAAAGATGAAGAACTAGTGCATGTTAGTGTGGTGAGACGAATGGTGTAATTCAGCAACGCCAGCTGTTGTATCACTCACATTTCAAAATAAAATGAAAAGAAAGCCAAATGCTGATTATTTGAATATCCTGATTATTATTTATTAAAAAGAGTATTCTTTTTTTTTCCTAATCCCACCTGATAACCTAAAGTTATAGTATGCTTTCAACACTGATTTATCTTTGTGAGAGAACCAAAACACATGTTCATGCAGCACACTCAATTCTGCCGACTGGCTGCAAAGCTTTCAGTTCCACTTGAGCAGGAAAAACCCAGAATCTGTGGAATATATTTAGCAATCATGCAGTTTCTAAGGGGAACCAGGCCCTACCAGAACCATTTCTTCCTGCATTCCTTCATTTTAAATTAACAGAAAGCTAGATTTTGTTTTTAAGATGTATTAGTCTTTGTGTTTCACAGAAACTATTGGGAAAGAAACAGAAAAGTAATGGTTTAAAGCCTCTAAAACAGCCTTCAGAACCATGCCAGAATAATCCAGGGTTCTTTATTTTGGGCCGATTGTACACTCATAAACTCATTTTGTACTTGGAAATCAAAGCATGACATTCCTTTATACTTTCAACATTAATCATTAACCACACAGAGCATTAGCAGGTTCATTTCAGTACACCCTGGCCAGACCATTTTGAACTGGGTGGTGTAAATCAAATAAAGATAAGGGTTTGACTCCACATAACTCTCGGCCTCTTTCTAAATGTATCGGATGATGCAGTTACACAACTGCACTGTTCAACCCACCTTGGTTCATCATATAAACTCGCATCTCACAGCGCTGCAGTGCACACTGCTTCCACTTGTTTGCCACGACAGCAAGTAAACAGCTGACCACATCCAGCGGGAACCATGCAGTCTGCCGACGCCAAATTCAAGAGAAACAGCCTGTTCCTGGCTCTGAGACGATACAGCTCAGCCGTCAGTGAAATGGAGCAGACCATTCTTCTGCCAAGCCTGCTGAGAGACGTGCCCTCAGACGAGGTGTGGGACTGTGAAGCTGCAGAAGAGACCTGCAAAGACCTGTACAGCAACTACTTGATGCTCAAAGCCATACGGACCACAGTGGAGAGCGGCCTAATTCCCCTGGACGATCACAAGGCCAAAAACAACATAGCACTGAACCAGACCCTGGAGCCTCTCTTGGACACAGATCCCGAAGCCCTCTTCCACTTCCACGTGAGAGGACTGTTTTCTGTGATGAGTGACCTCACCAAGAAGACGCAGACTCTCACTGAGAAATACATGGACATTATTGGAGTAGCAAATTAGTCACAAAACCTAAGATAGGTGGACATCTGTTTTTAAGAGAGTCCTCTAAGACACCCAAGCATTGCAAATGTCTGAAATGTTTACATTCAGTGACCCCAGACAAACCTAATGAATAAGGAATAAATATGCATTGTCAAAATAAATCAATTGTGTCTCTTAATTTGCTTTTGTAATGATCCCTTTTAGGGCTGAGCCATATCATACTGGTCACGGTAATACCGGTATAATGTTGGGAAACGATAAGAAAATGAAATATCGTGATAGAATATGGATAAAACGCGCATGTGCAGTGCGTTTGTTTTCATACGCGCATGGCGGCGACGGAGAATGAGAAGGAGGAAAGCGGATTGTTGAATGAAACAGATGAACCAGAATTGGTTTGTAAAAATGCTGCAGCTTCAGTGGTGTGGAACTGGTTTAGCTTTCATCCGTCAGATACACAACAAAGCACTATTTTTGGTAGCGCATGCTAGCGGGCCGTCGTTATTGCCGTGTTTTTTGGAAAATACGCCACACTTAAAATCAATCCTTTGATTTTTCTGAAAATCGACAGT